CGGCATCTTGGAGTAAGACCCTGGAGGGAGTCCACGACATCCTTATATGTTTATATGCATGGATTATGTGATTGATATGGTTTATGTGATTATGTGGGGTATGCTCTGGGGAACTCACTAAGCTTCGTGCTTACAGTTTTGTTTATGGTTTCAGGTATCATCGGTTTGGAAAGGAAGGGCCCTACTTGATCGCAACGCACACACCCGTGTTTTCCGCAATATGTGATTTTGGGATGAGCTCTGATAAATGTTTTTAATTAGCAATGATTTGGAATGTTGAATTAAACGATATTTGTGTTTTGACTATAATAAAAATGAAATTTTTACCCTTAATTTTTGGGTCGTTACATGCGATAATCAAAAGATCGGACAATTCCACGAAAATCCTGAATTGGAGAAATCTGGCTGAGAACTGAACCTTGGCATCAAGTCTTCCAGCTAAGAGGTCTTCACTCTCCCCCACTTGGAGTAGGCTAGACTCTGACAACTTCAACAATCCTTCTAAATTTCAGGCCAACTTGAACTCTACTACTTGATCCCCACCATTTACATCCACATGCTCAGGAAAACCTACACCCACAACAACATTCACAAATTCCAACACACAAACAAAAACTCCAAGGAAAATAATCAATCCATTGAAAATAAGAAATCACATAACACGGGAGCTAAATAAGATAATTTCATTCAACTGATCATTCAAGATTACAACTGAACTTCCAGAGCATAAACATAAAATACAATGATATAAACAATGCAGTACTCGACCAAATCAATGAACTAATAACTCAAAACTCGGTCTCTAGGACTCCGGTAGTCCCATAACGTCCGTCAGTTAGCTGCTAAGCTAGGGGTGCAGGGTTCTGAACCTCACCAAAAATAAGAAGGGGACAATGAGCTCTAATGTGGCCCTCCTGGCCACAATGGAAACAAATTGGCATACTCTGCCTGCAGTCCCTACCAAATTGCCCCTCCTTGCTACACTTATGACATGCAAAAGATCGACACCTCCCACTATGAAACTTCCCGCACCTGCCACACTCAGAACTCCTCCCCTCAGTTGGTCCTGATCTCGGGTCGGCGGACTTGAAGCGCTTGGCCGCCCACTGATACTGCCCTGAAGTTGCGCCGTCCTCCTTCTTCTGGATATCCAACTCAATCTCCCTCCTCCTGGCGCTTGATTGCAACCCGGTCAAGGTCTGATATGGCTGAGTTGATACAAACTCTTGGATCTCCATCTTGAGCATACTCAAGTATCGAGACATCTGCACCTGCTCTGAAGCAAAATACTCCAGGAAAAAAAAGGCTCTCTCTCTAAACATCTTGGTGATCTCCGTCACCAACTCAATCGTCTGCTTAAGCGAAAGATACATTTGTGCTAGTCGCACCTGCTCCACAAGAGAAACATAATCCACGCGGAACATATCTAAAAACCGCTCCTAAGTCACCGTGGACCGCACTGCATGCGAAAATCCCTGGGTCACAAACTTCCATGAATCCTTCGCACCCCATCGAAGAAGATTCAGCGCAAATTTCACCTTCTGGTCCTCGGGACACGACCACGTGTAGAAACATCCATCCACATCTGATATCCATCTTAGAGAAATAATCAGGTCCTTGTCGCTTCTGAACTCCGTAAGCTTCGTATAACTGAACTCTCGGTACTACATCGCCCCGACTATCTGGAATCCTGCAATGGTGACGGCTGCAGTGGCTGCTGCAGCAACAGCCAACACGACGGTGGCATAACGCCAATCAAACTCCTCAATCATCGCAGTCTTGATCGACCCAAACAACTCCAGAATCGCCTCTGCCTTTTCAGCAGCAATGATCCCACAGATCTCCTCATCACTCAGACCTACCCTCACAGTGCCACCAACACCTGATCCTGCACCTCCGGTAGCCACCATACTGAAAATATACAATGGAAAGATCATACATTAAAACACAATGCTCAATACACCAAATGTGCACCTATTAGTTCCTTAGTAACCTCAATATTCCTTCTAACTCTCATACGGATCCTATGCTTTCAGTAGTACGAGCCCATACTACCTTCCACACCTATCCGTAGTCGATTCATAATTCATCCCAAGGTCCTAAGTCAATGCACTAGACCACCCCTAGGTGTGCTAAGACCCACATGTTCCTATGAGTCGCAACTAACTTTGTAAGCACTCCCCTAGGATCATCCTCGCTCCTACACTGCTAGTTGCTTTGTGCATGCTTGTTGTACACAATACGGGGTCATATAGACTGTCAAATAATCGAATCCACCCTAAATCCACAACCAAACAAGGAACTGGAAATACGACTAAGTCAATCATTCTAAGGCTATTTAATCCTGACCGTATACAACTATACAACATACATTTAGCAATCACATAATCAAATATCATATGTCAAGCAATTCTTTGTACCATAAGGCATTACTATCCAACAGTTCCTATAAGAACCTTAGCTTATCCATTAGCATGCTTTTCTAACAATTCACATATCAACAAATTCAAAATTCAACACATATAACAAGTATGTGTATTTTGGAAACCACTCTCCTGTTCGGGCTCTAGCTGACTGTACACACCGCATCTTCTTGTAAAACCAAGGTTAAGTAAAGGTCCATATTTCCGATCCCAAGCCAACAATCAAACAAAAACATGACAAGAGATTGATCCCATGCCCTTAACCCAACCCTTTTATTATAAATTTCTTTGTCAAAAAATTTTTGTGAAAATTCTTGGATCCTAGTTTGATTTTGGATTCTCACAAGTGTTCCTCCAAATCCCTCAAACCAGGGCTTTGATACCAACTAGTAACGTTCCATTTTCACAACCAAAAATTTTCATTTTATTTAAGGTAAAACTTCACAATTATAAATCCATTTTAAGAATACCATTTATTCCAAATTACAATTGTCGAAAATCAGAGTAATATAATAAACACAGAATCCTCAATGCTACAGATGAGTGTGTACAATCACGCCTTTGCCTTCCCGCGATCACCGATAGAACCTGAAAACATAAACAATTGGATAAGCATAAAGCTTAGTGAGTTCCCCCAAAATACTACACACACCAGAATATATAATGCATACAACAGACTATAGCTCAAAATACCCAAAATACCCTTATGTCAAACTTGGTCAAAATCTAGTCCAAGTCAAGAGGTCAAAAAGTCAAAAAGTCAACCCAGCTCAGAACGCATGGCATCCAGAACGGACGCATGTCGTTCTCGAATGTATGGTGTTCTCTGAGGAATGCATAGCGTTCTCCAGCTGATCCCTTTTTCTTCCATTAAGAGCTTAATCCTTAAGCTCTCTTGCTCAAATTCCAGATCTAGCCCAAAGCTAACGTCCTTAACCATAAAGTTTCCAATTTTATGGTCTTGCATGGCTACAGAGTGCTTAATATAAAAAACCCTTACTTCTTAACCCAATAAGACATCCTAGTACATTCATGGAAAGAAACTAACGACCCAGACTTCATTTTTATGACTTAACACACCTTAAAATGTCTGAAATGACAACTCAAAGGTCCTGGAGACAAAAAAGGGGTCCAACTTTAAGCTAAACTAGATCTAAATGAAATACACATCAATGTTAGAGCTTTATACCTCCAGAAGATGCACAAGGGAGTGAAGATGTTGGATCCAAGGCCTTGAGTGAAACACCACAACTTCTAGGTTCTTCCTTCCCCACCAAGAGTACCAAAATGGCACCAAAATGACTCTCCAAACTTCAAAATGTACACACACTTTAGGGTTTCGAAATGAGGTCAAGGTGGAATGGAGGTTGGAGTTAAGGAAGGGTATGAGGTTATAATGATGCTTAAATAGGGTCAAAACCCTAAAAATTAAGGTTTTGAGTCCAGGCCGAGAATACATGGCATCCAAGACGAACGCATAACATTCACAACGCATGTTGTTCTCATCGAACGCATAGCGTTCTACTGAAGATGCGTTTTTCTTCAAACGCAACTAGGGACCATTTTTGCCAACAATTCTTATAACAATGGTATAAAAGGAATACCTGGACTTGGATTCACAACTTAAATGTTGTTAAAACCAATATTAACAAAAGTAAACAAAAAATAAGAGATTAAAACATTAAATACACAGCTTAACAGAAGGACAAACAATCAAAACAAAAATCGACATATGTGATGTGTTTCACCGGAGATCAAAAAGAAAAAGATGGAAGAAAATTGGAGGTGTTTCGCCGAAGCGACAAGACAACAATGGTGGTGGCTGTTGACGACCGCCTATGGTTTTCAATCGCTTCGATGCTCTTAGATCTAGATGTGTATTTCATAGATCTGCGTGCATAAATCGTACAACTGTCGTTGGAGATCGTAGATCATAGATATCGATCAAACCACTTCAAATCTGATAGCCACGTCATAAAAAAGAAACAACGATCGATGGTGCTTAGCGGAGAAAAAAGGCGATGGCGATGGATCTGATATGGTTGTAGATCTGGTGATAACATCTCAACCCGTCGTAGGTCTAGCGCTCCGTCTAGGGTTCTAGGATGGGAGGCAACAGAGAAACGAGTCAAGTGTGGTGGTGTTCATAACATTCTTTAAAGAAGGTGAAGTTGTCGGACTTTATATGTTTCTAGAAGAAAAATAACATCTAAGCTATAATTGATGACTACGAGATCGGAGCAAGTCACGGAGAATATGATAAGTAGAAAGAAGTGTTGTTAGGATTTGTGTAGTGGGAGAGCTTGAGAGGGTTTGAAATGAAGAAGTGTTAGAACTAATCTAAATTGAAGAAGTGTTGTATTTGATATATATATATATATATATATATATATATATATATATATATATATATATATATATATACGAAAATTAATTAAAATATCGAAGCATCCAAGATTTTATTGATTTTTAAGACATATAAATATATATAATACATAAAGAGATAAAATGTATGCATATTCAATCTATCATTATTTTTCAGCACCATTTTCATCTCATAAAGCACGAAATCATGCCTCAAGGTGTGTTGCCACCATCACCGCTATTAATAGCCACTCCCACATTTTTGAACATGTTATCGGCCCTTTCTTTATTATTACTTACAAACATACCTAAATGATTTCCTCTTGTCTGTCCTTTGTCCAGGTCATCAACTTTTCCACCTAAATTCTTGATTATCGTAGCAACAAGTTTGACACCAAGTTTAGCTCCAATATAATTTGTTCTTGCGTTTTTAAGTGCAGCACGTACATTTACATTTCTGCAAGATTTCTTCTCCCCTCCAACGATCTTTCTACCACAAACCATTACAGATGTACAAATTAATAAGTAAAAAACTAAAACAACAAAAGTCTTAACAAACTTCATATAGGAATTTCTTAATCGTCTATCGATGACTTGAAGTAAGTGATAAAAATATAACATGTATAAATAAGGAGTTAAGATGTCACTAATTTAATTTCACATTTAAGACGTAATTACAGTAACGAGTTACGTGTCAAAACTCATACATAAATATATTAATTTTTTGTTTCAACTTTATACAACTAACATGTATGATTTGACAAAAACATGGAATACTTTTTTGTTCGTTTTTCCTCTATATTAAAAAATTAATTTTATTCATATGATTTTATTCATATAACAATATTAGTAAACCCTACCATTTAAGTAGCCCACATCAACCTGTCATATGGTCATTTGTCATATGGTCATTGTGGGAGGTCAATCACACAACTTTATTAATATTTTAGATGTGCAAAAGTTTAAACCATAGTCATGTTATGAAAAATTTCACCTCTTCACTCTTAGACTTCCATCATGAAAACTAAAAAAATATCCAAAACTAAACTTTTTTTTAAATATTATTATTATTATTATAATTCAAAAACTAACTAGCCAAATTTTCATTAATTTAATTATCATTGTACAACGAGATGACAAACGGACAACATGTATAAAAAATATAAAAAACTAAACCTTATTTCAAAAATAGTTTTAGACAAATAAAATAAGGGAAAAGTACATAAATTTGTCTACGGTAAAAATATTTTCAATAACACATATTTGTTAAATTTTAAATATATTATTTTAATTTGCACAACGTACATATATTTGTCTATGGTAAAATATTTAAAGCATATGCATGCGTGCACGTGTGTGTGTGTATATATATATATATATATATATATATATATATATATATATATATATATATATATATAACATCCCGAATTTATGAGGTAAAAATTTCATGCTTAATTCAACCAAAACATTAATTATCTTTAACTCAACATTCAACATCCTTTTTCAAAATATTCAAAAGTACTTTATAATGTAATAATTATTAGAGTACAATCTCAGAACCATCATAATACAGAAACATGGGTGGTTGTGCTGCGATCAAGTCGGGCCCTTCCCTTCCGAACCGGAAGTACTTGAAACCATAACCATAAAACTGTAAGCACAAAGCTTAGCGAGTTCCCCAAAGTACTACATTCCATACATAATAATCACATACTGGGCCCCCACCCTTCATCGAGCCTCGCCCAACATCGGTTCCCGCCCGACATCGGGCCTCACCCGACATCGAGCCCCACTCGGAATACAGATATGTCGGTCATCAGGCCCCGCCCACTACACATATAATCATATAAACATATAATCCTATGAACACATGCAATAATCACAAAGACAATAGCATACCATACAGTTATAGAGCCCCGCCCGGCATCGGGCCTTGCCCGGTAAGCATAAAAACACATACTGATAACTAGCATACAATATACTCATCAGGCCCCGCCTGGCATCGAGCCTTGCCCGGTAAGCATACCATCACATAACACATGAAAGAGTCATGCAGACATCTAGCATCCTAACATATAAACCATGGTCCGACATTGGTTCCTTCGACCCGCTAAACTCAGTAAGGAGACTCACCTCAAGCTGCTGAATCGCACACACAAGAGCTCGAACAGCCGATCCGGAAAATCCTCGCGCTAACAACAACAAATAATAACAAATAAATAATTGGTCCTCAACCCTTAGCTGGAAACCTAGTTAGATTGTCCAATACTCAAGGTAAAAGTCCATTTTACCCTTTCCTCACTTGGCCCAAAAATCCGAAGTCCAAACCAAAAGCAACAAAAGCCCAATATGGCCCAAGTTGCAAATTGCGCCCAAAGCCCATCATGGGCCTAATCCAAGAAGGCCCAATTTCCTAAAAGGCCTAAAATATCCATTGGTCAACCCTGGTCAAACTTCTAGTCAAAGGCCAGGGGTAAAAAGGTTAAAAAATCTAGAAAGCCCAAACAGACTGAGTACACCCCACATACTCAGTTGGTACGCCATCGTACTCCGGGTTGACTCAGTAAGCGCTGCGTACGCACCCTGCTCACAATCCACTTAGAAAAGGTCTTAATCGCTTAAGCCAAAGCGTCCAATACACAGAACTTGTTCCAAATTATGCCTTAATCCATAAAGTTGTTAACTTTGGGCTCTTTCATGGCTCAAAGGGTCCCAAATCCAAGTGCTAACATTACAACTTCAACAAAGGAGCTAGTACACATGCATGGGTTGATATCATCCATCAAGATTGCATTTTTATGAATTTGGGACACCTAAAACGTCGAGATCTAGGGACCATACTCTTGGAGCAAACTCATTCTCTAAAGCAAACCAAAGAGACCAAAATGTGCCACAAACCACCCAAAACTATATCTACCCAAAGAGATGACAATATTAAACCTTTTTACCTTCAATAGGTTGCAAAAGATGAGTAAGTTCTGGATCTCCAAGCTCCACTCCAAGTGACGATTCTTCAACAAGCTCCAATCTCTTCAACATGCACAAAAAGACTCCAAGATTCCTCACCATGGCTTAAGAACTCCAAGATGGTGGCTAATGGTCGAAATTAGGGTTTAGGAGGTATGGAGGTTGATAAGAGGCAAGGCTCAATGAATAAAAGAAGCTTAAATAGGGTCAAGACCCTACAATTTAGGGTTTCTAGCTGAAGGGAGTACGCCCCGAGTACCCCCTGAGTACGCCCGACGTACTCAAATGCCACCCGCAACCAATACACCCACTACCCCCGCGTACTCGATGATTACGCACCGCATACTAGACCAAGCTCAAAATTACTTCAACTTTAATCGACCATAACTCGTTCGTTCTACGCCCGTTTCCAACAATCCTTATATCCTCGAAAAGGTAATGAGAAGCTCTACGCTTCTATCAACTCATACTGGCCCTAATTTCCCGAACTAAAATCCAATTTCCATAAAAGCCTGAACTGACACTTTATCGATATACCCTTTGGCTCCGAAACACAAACCGAACTCCCGGATCATCTAAGTTACATTACCCACACCCAAATGGGTCTAAATCTCTTTTCCTCAAAGGCCCTAAGCCTGAGGATACCCGATCTTCGGTCACCATCCCGCATTAGGAAACGATTCAGAACAGAGCGTTACAACTCTCCCCTACTTAAATTAAATTTCGTCCTTGAAATCACTCCTTACCACCCTTCTGGGAACCAACGCTCCTATCAAAACCTTCTAGTGTTGGACAAAACACTGATCCCATAACTTTCGATCCAACACGATACTGCTAAAATCCCGGAACCCCATCACTTGCCTAACCTCCACATAGGTGGAACCAATTCGAAACAAATTCACAAGAGTCTCGACCAAAATCCAACTCGGTACATAACTCATAACCGGAGATCCAAGGATTTACACTTGCATTTCACCTGAAACCTTCTGATCCACTGCATCCATTCATTAAACCAAGGTATAAAATCCCCAACCACCGCTGAGACTACCAGTCTCATACCTAGTCCAGCCACCAGGTTCCTAAGAGTCCAACCGATGAGTCCACCCTAGCCTATGCACCACACTATGCCACTCCTTAGCCATGCAATCATCCTACTAAAACTATAATCCACTTTCCTTGACCCAACCGGTCTCTACTAGGTCTCACCGGCATTGCCATAATCATACAGGCCTCGCCCACGGGTCTCACCTAGTCTATACAAATGAAAGGTCCACACCCACGGGTCTCACTCCATTGAGAGCTACACAGGCCCAACCTTGCCTCATACTCCAATGGTCCTCTTCTCATAACAGGGAGATATTCTCCGACAATATTGTCCGCCTTATCCTAGGCACGAGTTGATTCTATTTCATACCAACGACCACCCCAACGATGGTCTACCTCAATCTAGTGAATGCTACGATCTCATCACAGACTTGCAATAATTCCCACAACTACCTGATATCCTGGTGAATGCTACGGCCATCCTGCAGTCTTACAACACTTCCATACTATCTGCCAACCCAGTGAATGCTACGACCACCCCCGCAGTCTTACGAAACGTCTATCCCGCCATGGTCTTACCACACCTCTACCATATCAACCACAATCATCCTGAGTCGAACTCGCATCCGACTGTACCCCAATCAGGTGTTCGGGTCATGCTTCGAACCCCAAAGCCTTAATCAGACAAGAACAGGTAGAGAAGCTCTAACACTAACCTTGACCTGAGTCCATCCACATTCCCTCCATGCGCCACTACTAACGTGCAATGAAATACGAATATCCTTTCTTGTGGAATCTTTTAAACCAATGATTCTCCCCCACTTGGATTCGACTACGCTCTTCCAATCCTCAAGATTTGATGGATTTCCAATCCATCTCATAACTTTACCTGAGTTTACAACTGCCAACGTTCCATAGCAAAACAATCTCGATGATCGCACAACTCTTAAAATCCAGATGAATACTCCCCGGAATCTCAACAATCCCGATAATCCTGATCCCTTCCCATGATACCACACCAAAACCTTAAGTCCTCTATGTTGGTGGCAAAGACTATAACCCTTGACCGGAACTGGCGAATCTTCACTCCAACTTCCCATCCTCAGAAGGATCTCAGAGTTCTAACCATCTTCAACCATTTCGATTATAAAATTCCCCAGACACTTCCAGTGACCAAACAACTCATGCGACTTCCACCATCATCTTCTTGCTACCGCTCCTTCCCTAGCAACGATAGTGATCGAACCCAAAGGTTCTTCCATAGGCGACTGCTGATCCTACCGGAACAAATGCTAACATGACTGAAATCTGACATCTTTGGAGATCTAACCACCTAATCAGACCATAGACCTCCCAAACAATACCCCTGGATTAACCGTTATTAGAGAACCAGAACAACAACCGAACAAACTGAAACCCGCTCAGCAAGATACGATCCACTAATGACTCTTGGCATGCAAAAAAATGGCATATAACAATTCTTAATGATA